CCCCCCACCTCATGCGTGTCCGACTTGGCGTTATCAACCCCCACGCCGCACGCGTGTGTTTTCGTTTCACCACCCCTCCTAGATCATACCGTGAGCCGCGCATGCGCACACGGCCACTGTACTCTGTACCTCGTAATGGACGCCGTGACGTCATATATCCCAAGTGCGCACATACGTATATCTACATACAGCGGGATACCGAACACAGATACGATTCCTCGTCCCTTAAGTGAATTTCAACATCGATGCCCCGTGCCTGCTACCCTTGGTTCGATGAAAAATCGAGTACAGGATTCAACGGATAGGAATGAATTCTCCGAGTTGTTAACGCATCCCCACCGGTACTGTGCTGCATCCCTTCCTCTACGGGGTTGCGTCTGTCCCGAGGAACTCTCTAAGGGTTGGACAGATATTAAAAATTCCTGCAAACATTTGATCCTCTCAAAGCGTCCCTCACTCGTCGCGCTTACCAATTTGGGGTAGGCAAAATCCTCGGGTATCGTCGCACCGGGCATCCCTTATGGAGCCACCTGCTCCTCGAGCTGCCCCTATTCTCCCGGCCCCCAACCGGTACTGCATGCCTACCGCTAAACGAGAGTTTGCGCACGTTAGGTTTTACCTGCGGCCTTCACGCGGTCGGCAGACGGACGCGCGGTAACCGCCATACGATTATCGGCTACCAAATCTCCGCTAATCCGCGGCGGACTGACCGCACGCGGAATTCCCATACGATGAAATTATGACGCTTTCCACGATCCTTTCGCATCGCACGGTTTCCCGCTCTACGTCATTAGCTCACGCATAACGCACTATAAACGCATTATACCCGTCTACCATCCCCCGCGCCTGTCCAACAACTCACGTTTATAACGTCCATCTCCGTCGATATTATACGCGCATAAATAACCGGGTTACGCCTCCCATTTCTTTTTTTCACTCAACCAACCCCACCTCTCCCTTCACCCACGCGCTCAGCGGCATTACGAGATTCCAGGATTTTACTATACAAATATACATAGTTCACGGGACTGTCAGGTGCCGTGTGTAGTATACCTATAGTTACTGCCTGTATAACGCTTAACGTCCTACTAGCCATATACTGTACTCGATATAAGCTCGGCATTCGAGTGAAGCAATATCCTGTAATGGTGTGAAACCACAGGGACGTAAAAGAATACAAGATAAACGATCTAACAAGAAATGCATAAAGCTAGAGAAAATTAATAAAAAAACCCCTTTTTTTTCTTTTCTAAAATTCTTCGTCGCTTCTTGCAGAATTCCCGTGTCTAAGAAAGAACTGAGCCTCTATTATTCAACTAATAACGCCTTCTATCTCTTGTTATAGATATGTATGTTATATATAGTTTAACGTTCGTCTGGATATCCCTGTGCACCTATACAGGTGTATACTGTCCTTTGTTTTTCTTTTTCCTTTAACGGTATAGCAGGGCGTCCTTGTCTCTCTTGTTTGCTATCTTTACCTCAGACCCCTTTCACTCTTCGGGATTCGCAGCTTTAAGGGAATATCGATTTGAGCAAGAAAATCGCACGGGATGCGAATGCAGCGCTTTCTTGCTCAAGCTCCGTCCAATGGAAATTAATTGCAATGGGTATAGGGGTTTATGGGGTAAATGAACGATATGGATTTTTGTTACCGACCCAGTGATGGCTACTAGAGCTGCACGCAAGTTCAGTATCGCGAACCTGGACTGTATGATTTTAATGATCAATCTTACAATTGAAATTAAGAGCCGCCCGGTAGGGGCGAGGGGGGGTGGAATTTATTTGCTTGTACTCGAATAAAAAAAATATAATACGTACACCGTACGCGGAAAACTGAAATTGCGCGAAATTACAACCTGAGGCGTCTTTTCGCGGGAGAAGACTGGGACGGTGCCGGTGATGCAATTAAAATGAAATTCTTGAATGTATAAAGATTGCGCAAGGTTTATTCGCCGGTACCAACCTGCTCTGAGTATATGAAGGCTGAAGTAGAGGAATCGCTGTTTGCTCATTACAACGTATAGGAATACCCGGCCACGCTTTGGCTCAGTAGGAATTTTCAGATATCTCATTATGACTCACCTGTGCGAGGGGAAATATCAAAATATCTTTTTACCCACCTCCCACTTCGAACACCTATCCTTTTGTCTTTTTCACTCCGTGTCTGCTTTTCTTTCCCATCCCTATCTCTCATCCACTGCCATTTCCCCCGGCTGGCATAATTTGTTTGCTCTCGAAACAAAAGCGCCACTCCCGAAATGAGAGTAACGTCGTTCGCTTGAGGATGACAAATTTTTGTGTAAATTTTTTTTTTTTTTTTTTTTTTTTTTTTTTTTTTTTTTCCTTTTATCCACCGACCGAGCATTCCGAACTCGCGTTGATGGAATATGACATTTTTTTGTCGCGCAACAATTTTCTGAAACTTTGTGATTTTCGATAGTCTTCCAAGAATTAAACCCTCGTGGCGCAACCCTCTGGTACTAGTTAGCTACGGAGTTAGACGTGGACCCGTCGCTGAGGGTTGTTGGTCTCCGTTCGTTTTACCTCTCGTCGTTGAAACAGTTGCAAATCGCAAGGGTTGAAACCACCAGCTCAGCTGTTTGTTATTTATTGGACGCCAGCCCTCCAAGATTAACCTTGCCAACACAGAGCGGTGCTTGCTCGTTCGCGTTCATTGCTGCTGAAACGACATTTATTCTGCGTCGACCCTTTCGCTATTCCTATAGAGGGGAGAGGTTAGTATACGCACAGCACAGGGTGTACCATTGTGTGTATATATATATATATTGCAGTTGAACGGAGTAGCGAAAAAATCGCGAGAATCTTACACCTGGATTGGTAAATTAAAATGAAGAATATTCTCAGTCGACTGAGAAACGAATAGATGAGCGATTTACACGTTAATACGTGGGGTTGGTATAATAGTTTGATAACCCGTAAAAAGGATGACAAAAAGTTCGATGACAGTCGGTACTCACGTCCTATAACCCATCACGTGTAAACTATGCAAAACATTGAGAGATAACCTAACCTTCACTTACTCTTTCGCATCCATTAAACAACCCCGGATTTTAACCCCTAGCGGCGAAAACTGGCAACACGCGCTAACGGTAGAACGTCGCCAGCAGCTTAGTTACTCCGCATCGGTTTATTGCTTTTTAAACAGTTTTTAAATGAACCCATAAACGGTTAACAGACCCGGCCAACACGTTCCCGCTCGCTTATCAGCATGAGCCCCAGTTTTCTCCTGCTTCGTGGCCAATCAACGTCACAGTCCCGCGTATATACGTCTCTGTCGGACGGAAGTCGGACGCTCGCTCGCGCATGCGCACGTTTCATCTCGTTCCCTCGACGTCCACTTTATCTCGTGAAACAACTACGAAGACCATTTCCGAGTGTTTATCATTGTAGCCGCTCGAGTGCGTGCTTTGACCTCCATGCGGCGCCACAGTCGAAGCGTCACCTACTTCCCTCGCTCGTGCACGACACGGTAACCGTTAAAATTTACACTTGCAGCTAAAGCTTCTGCGGTTATCAAACTTTTCTCTATGTTTTTCTTGCATCGGAAACTTTCTCTCATATACATTTCTTTGGCGTACCTGCGAAATCGGTCACGAAGCTAACCTTGTTTCCGTAATGTCCTACCTCCCACCCCCCGGCATCGTCCTGTTTCACGATTCTCTTGCGACTCGAACGATCCGTGCCTTAAGTAACTGCCTCGTAAAATTCTCTGTCGCGCAATCACCCTCGGTTCTGGACTTCTCGACAACCCTTTACATTTTATATAGGTATATAACCTAACCCTACAATCCCTTAGGACAAACGTAACGGTCCTTGCTCTTTCTCAACCTGCGCCTTCTCCTATTGAGAAGTGCAAGCGTAAAATATAGTAATCTACTCGTCTGTTCGTACGTGGATTTGTAAGGGGTATTTACAGTTAAAAAAAAAAGTTTAATCCTTTTTATCGTTCTGGGGAATGATTGTGAACTCGACACGACGTCCTGATCGTCATTCTGCACGATATAAACCAGTCACGACTGTAAACGGCACCCTTTACCGATATTCCATTATTTCAAAATCCAGCTGTGGAAATCTCGAGTCGAGCATTCGGGAAAATTTAATCTGGCGCGATGTAACGCTACGCGAATCAACCGAGATGGGGGAGCGAGAGAGAAAGAGAGTGCCAGTGGGTCTACCCGGGTGGGCTGGGGAAGTGGGAAATTATGCAGATTAATTAAAGAATGGTTGAGAGTCGAGAGTGGAGAGTCAGTGAGAAGGGTAGCTGCTCCGTAGCCGCTGCTGGAAATGGAGCAAAGGAGACAAGCGGCGGGTGGGTGGACGGGGCGAGGGGGCTCGAGAAATCTGGGGAAGGCACCTCCGATGAGATGGTTTCGTGACGGGGAGGGGCGAGCGGTAAAATGTCTAAGGAGAGAGCAGAAAACTAGGCCGAATATGTAAACACTCAGGTAAATTGAAAATTAACCGGAATCGCCCACTTTGCTCTTTCCCTTTCGCTCTTCGCACGATACTTGACTACATTACTCGTGCCTGTATGTACTATATCTATATATGTATACCGTCAGGAAACGGTTGATTTTTTTTTTATCAGACGATCAAAAGTGTCCATGACGTATGTACGTACGTTATTTTTATTTCATAAGACTTGTTTAATGAATTTTCCTAACGAGATATCCTTGTCTTTTTGTTTTTTTTTTCTAGGCTCTCCTAGAGATGGGAGACGAGAATGCCGCAGCCACTATGGTGACGTATTACGCGTCGTGCGTCGCCCAGCTCAGAGGTAGAGCTGTGTACGTGCAGTTCAGTAACCATCACGAACTGAAGACCGATCAGACCCATAGCAACGCGGTCAGTAGTCCCACAAACATCGTCGCCAACCCGTCCAACGTCAGTATCATTATTCTTTTTATTTTAGTTTGCATTAGGCGACGCGCGACTTGCTCTTAGACAATTGAAAAATGGAAGAAAATCCAAATGAAAACACATCGATACGTTCCCGGCCACGATTTGACCTTCTCGATGATTCTCGTGAATGCTTGTAAAAGTTATTCCAAAAAAATAATAAAAAATCGGCTCCGAACGTACCGATTTTATCATTGCTTTCAGCTTGGAACGTTACGTCTAATCTAACTACGTACTGCTAGCATTAACTATATTCAGCCATAATAGTAGGTAGTCCAAAGCCACGCGGCCTGGTTAATTAAACGTGTAGCATCCTCATTTTCTTTCCCCTCCCCGCCTCCCCCCACCCGTAACCCAAACCACTGTCCCGGCTGTTGTTAGATCGCCCCTCTTTCTCTGTCCCTCGGCGTACAGCTCACCCTCCTGCCCTGACTTGTCACCCCTCCCCTCCC